ATGGAAATTCCCCCTTTGCTGTCTGAAGAGAGAAAATGATGCCCAGGGGGCTTCTGGGTATGTCTCTCAGCTCCTATGAGGTCACTTACTATGACCTCAGCTACTTCTGTTAGAAATACACCAAACAAAAACTTAAGCAGGTGATTTCAATCAAGTCAGCTGGAATGCACTCATTGCCAGGTGATAGTTAGGATGTGTGTACATTCTCTTTCTCAGACTTGATTCTGTTAAGACTGTTTTTGGATGGGGTGTTTGAAGCTATTTACAATAGCCTAACCAGCAGGGTGTTCAGTGTGTGACGTATCCTCTACTCTCCAGTTTACAAATACTGTAGGGTGAGATAACAATACCTCATATGTGCATTCTACTTGCACTTTCCAGCGTTCTTCCAATTTTTAGAAATCATTTAATTTGCATGTTAGAGAAATAATTTTGTGTTTACTTCAAACATACCTAATATTATAATCTGGAATTATTTCTTTGAGTTTTAGATTATCCCTTTCCCCTTACAGATAAATCTTTTTATTCATATCAAGGTGGTATTTATGTTTTCACTTTCACTGTGGTATTTATGGGGTCATCTATTCAGAAAATAGTTAGCTAACTCTTTTACCTTAACTTGAATATCAAGATGGAGATACTTTTTAAAACTTTGAAGTACTCATTTGGTTTCATGGCACATCACATTTGTAAAGTAACTTGTGATCATATTTTATGAAAAATAACTGACAAAATAAGAAATCTTAGTTTGGCCCTAAGAAAGTTTATTTTCTAAGCTTATTTCTTGTTACTTTAGCTTCTTTACCATTTCTTGTTCATGGGCATGAAACTAGAAAGTAAAACCCGCTCTTAGCATGCATATGGATGAGTGTGTATACATATATACACACATTGTATTATTTTTATGACTTGATACTTTATTTTTAATAATGAGATAGTAATGAGAAATAGTCTCCAAATAAATCCATTTTACTTAAAATTACATAAAGTTTTCAGATTCCCTAATTTGATTTCTATGCTTTTTGTTCCTGGACTTTATAGTCCAAGATCATTTAGAGGGTTAGATATGGTAGAAATTAAGATAGAGGATGTACTTATTCATCCCTTGACGTATCTATGTATTAGGACTCCAGGTATCATTTTATTATCTGTTATTGTATAAATAATATGTGAAATATGTGGAATAAATTATCCATATTTTAACGTTAGAAGTATCCCAAAATATGCATAACTGTGTTTATTTCTGTGGAGCCTACTTTTCCCAGTCACCATATGTGACTGTTTACATATAAATTAATTGAAGTTAAGCAAAATTCTTAACTTCAGTTCTTCATTCATACAAGCCATTGGTTAAATACTCAAAAGTTAATGTGGCTGATGGGTACCATATTGGACAGCAGAGAAAGAATATTTCCACCACCACACAAGTTCTATTGGACAGCATTGGGCTATATATATTGGATGTATATACACTGTACTATTAACACTGTAGGGAGTTGGTTGACTTGGAACAGTCTGTTTTGTAAACCTTCACAGAATGCTGAAGTAAAGTAATCTGAAGAATAGAGTGTATATCTAAATGTTTATGTACTTCCATTTTTCTTTCTATACATTTTGACTTTAATCCAGCTCTAGTATTTTATGGGTCTATCACCTAATATCTTGGCATCGCCGTCTAACACCTAAGTAAGGGTAACACTAAAATAGTTTCTGTGGCTGCTTATAAGCAAAATTATGCCCCCTTCTTAGTAATAATCTTATTAAAATATAATTCACATACCTTTTGTGTGTGTGTGTGTGTGTGTGTGTGTAGTTGGCGATCAAGCCCAGGGCTTCAAGCATGCCAGACGAGCATTTTCTCACTGAGCCACGTACCCAGCCCTTAAGTTTGCCACTTATACAGTGGCCTTTGTGTCTGGCTTTTTCACTTAGCATAATGTTTTCAAAGTTCATCCATGTTGTATCAAATATCAGTGCACTTTATCTTTCATTATAGATTAAAGAATATTCTGGTCCATGGTATACATTTTGTTTATCCATTAACCAGTCAATGGATATTTGGACTGTTTTCACTTTTATTTAGCCATTATAAATAATGGATATAAATGCTGCTTATAAGTTTTTGTGTGGACATATGTTTCCAGTTGGGTATATACCTGGAAGTAGAATTGCTGAATCACATGGTACTTTTATGTTTAATATTTTAAGGACCTAACAATATGTTTTGCAAGATGACTTGCAAAATGATTCCATCATTTCCCATTCCTTTTAGCAAAGTATGAGGGCTCCAGTTTCTTCACATTCTTACCAACACTTATTATCTTTTTTTATTACAGCCATTCTACTGGGTAAAGGTGGCATCATACTGTGATTTGGACTTGTATTGTCCTAATAACAAATGATGTTGTATGTGTTTTCATGTGCTTCTTAACTCTTTGTGTGTCTTATTTCAAGAAATGTATATATCCTTCGCTCATTTTAAATTGCCTTTTTATAATTGAGCTGTAAGAGCTTTTTTACATTCATCATATAAGTCCTTAGATATAAGGCTTACAAATATTTTCTCTCATTCCTCAGATTTGTCTTTTCTCTTTCTTTAATAATATCCCTTGAATCATAAAGGATTTAATTTTGACAAAGTTCCATTTATTTATTTTTTTCATCTATTATTATTTTTACTTTGGGCATCATAGCCAAAAATAGCATTGCCTAACCCAATGCCACAAAGTCTTAGTTTTTTGTTTTCTTCTAAGAGTTTTATACTTTCAGCTTTTACATTCAGATCTACTATTCACTTTCAGATAATTTTTTGTGCATGGTTTGATGTGTGAGTTCAACTTTATTCTTATGCACATGGATGTTCAGAAGTCAAAGCACCATTTGTTATAAAGACTATGTTTTGCCCATTGAGTTCTCTTGGCACCTTTGTCAAAAAAAAAAAAATCAATTAACCATAAGTGTAAGGGTTTATTTTAGACTTTCAGTTCTATTCCATTGATATAAATGTTTATCCTCTCCCAGATTATACTGTATTGATTGTTGCAGGGGCAACTTTGTAGTGACTTTTGAAAAATATCTTTCAACTCTTCAAGATTTCATTGATTATCTTTCAGTCCTTGCATTTCCATATGAATTTTAGAATGAGCTTATCAATTTCTGTTTTTAAGAAGCAGCAGCTAAAATTTTTATAGAGGTTGCATTGAATCCATAGACCAATTTGACGAGTACTTCCACTTTCACAATATTAAATCTTCTAAACTATAAACATATGACATCTTTTTAGGGTCTGGGAATGTGGCTCAAGCGGTAGTGCGCTCGCCTGGCATGTATGCTGCCCGGGTTCAAACCTCAGCACCACATACAAACAAAGATGTTGTGTCCGCCAAAAAATAAATAATTTTTTTTTAAAAAAAGATATCTTTTTATTTGTTTAGGTTGTTTTTTAAATTTTCTCTGTGGTACTTCCTAGTTTTCAGTGCATGTCTTGTCTTTTTGTGTTAAATTATCCCTAAATATTTATTCTTTGTGTAATTGACCTATGTTAGTAGTTAGAATCTATTATGAATAGATTTTTCCCTCATTTTGCTTTCAGACTGCATATTATATATATGTAGAAATACATTAAAGTTTTTACATTGCTCTTATTGTATCAGCCTTGCTGTACTTGCTTTGTAACAGGTGATACTAAAGAAAGAAAGATGTGCTATAATTTAAAATAATTTTTTTTTCTGTATTTTTCTAGGAATTTTGGCTGTAGGATTCATCAATGACGCTATAGATGAAGGAAATCCTTTGAAGACTTTAGATACCTTGATGTTACCTAATGCTAAGATTAGAAATGTGGACCCTGATCGTGCCCAGCACTACCAGGATGTTTTACACCATGCAAAATCACAGAAACTCATGGTAGGTTTTAGTATATTTGTTTCTTTTAAGTTTACAGGCAAGGTTGAGAACAGAAGGGAAGATTTTTTATTTTAAATTTCATTAACTTTTTTTCCTAGTGAATCAAAATGAAAATAATAAGGCTATTCTTTTCCTGGTACTAAATTTTAAGGGAATGCTAGCTTCAGAGATGATTAGTGCTTTTATTCTTTCACTAAAAACTCAGTTACAGGTGACTTCTTGTTTCGAATCCAATTCTTGGATCTTTCTCAAGTATATGCTGTGTGCATAGTACAGTACATAGCGTTTGATAGGGAAGAGAGGGGATAAAGATACAGGGGGATGCATGGTACCATTTGGGTATTCTCTGTTCTGATCCACAACATACTTAGGAACTTACTGAGGTAGTATGCATTCTTTCATAGAGCAATTAAATAGAAGAAATGACTGTGTAGTGAAATGAAAAAGAGATTGAGAGATGGTTGGGATTGTTCTGTCTAGAATCTAAAGAGAAGTTACCACGGAGGAAGGACTGTAGCTGAGGCAGAAGGGTGAGAAAGAGTTGGGTAGGTGGGTGGTCCACAGCATGATGCAGTCAGGTACTTCAGTGCTCACTGGGAACCAGCATCTTTTGGTCTGAGCATGGTAGGTAGCTTGCCTGGCTGACTTGCTCTTGAAGAACAGTGGTGGATGCAAGCTTGTGTGGAGATTGGCCACTTTTAGAATTGTGCTTGCATGAGTGTTGAAACCTGTATGACCTGTTACCTGAGAGGACCTAGCCACTGGTGGTTGACATGTCCCCAGGTGAAAGGGTAGATTATCTTCTGTGTGTAAGTCTTTAGACCCTAAGAACTGTCTCATCTAAGATAGGAAAAATATCCTTGGTTAGAAAAAAAGCACTGATTGAGCAACTATTGTTAGGCATGATAGTATTTTATGTATATTATCTCATATAATCCTCTTAACAAAGCAGGAAAGTCTCCTTTCACCATCATTATTGCCCTCTTATGGATCATAAAGCAAAACCTAAATCACTTGTCCAAAGCCATCCAAAAGACAATTAGTTCTGGGACCACAACCCAGGTCTGCCCAATTCAGAAATAACATTGCTGTACATTCAGAGAGATGGAAAGAGATGTTTATTGCACCTTTATTTGCAATAACAAAAGACCAAAAATTACTTAAATGTTTCAAGGCAAAAAATGCATGCTTCTACATAAAAATGAGAGACATATCAATGGGAGCAGGAGACATGCACACTTATCTATGTATGAAATATTTCTGGAAGGAGATGACTTCTAGAATATGAACTAGAAGACTGAAGGAGATGGGAGACTTCTTTTTCTCTGTCTTTCTACTGTTTGGATTTTTAAATTTTTAGAGTGTGTTTTTAGGAAACACTGAGTGTTTCTAAACCTTTAAAGACCAAAGTATATCTTGCTCACTTGGAGGAAATGATGCCCCAGGGTGGGGCCTTCTGGCCTTCCAGCAGGATTGCCTTACAAAGTGCTCTCTCACTTCATGGAGATCTGCCACAGCAGCTGTGGAGTGGTGCTCTCACCTGATGTAAATTGGGTTTCAGAATGAGTGCTTGGCCAGGTACTACCATTGAATGGAAGAGTGAGGACCCAAACCCAAGTCTCATGCCCCCACATCCAGGGAGAGGGGATGGGGCTTCTCCTTGCTATTCCCATGGAGGTGGCTGTGTCCATGCTATAAGGCAAACTTGTGAACATTGAAAGAGAAAATTATTTGTCTTGAAGACAGGCACCATATGGATCCTGGCTACGTGACCTAGGTCAGGTTACCACATCTCTATATGCTTGTTTTCAAATGTGTAAACATGATACCTGTCTTACAGAATTATAATGAGAGTTAAATGAAATTATATAAAATATATACAGTAATATTATATGAACAATAATTACATATAATAACATTAATTATAAACATTTGTGTGTGTACACACACACACACACACACGTAAGTTACAGCATTTAACATGAAACCTGGCAGTGTCCCCCCACAAAGAAAAACCCAGCTTAAATAATTTAGCTAGTAGTATAGGCAACTGTGGCTGGCTACCTTCCAAGTTGGGGTGAATAATGTCTATATCATATCATAGGGTCCTTATTAGACACAGGATCTGCTCTGTCAACACACCTCAGTTTTTCTCTGCCTACAATGGGTATTTGTCTTTTGAGGGGAGCCCAACATCACATGGCCAAGAACTTTTACAGGTGGTATAGGCCCTCTCCAGAGCATTCCAGGCGAAAGCTTTAGAACAAGATGAACACTCAGAAGCCTCCAATTTCCTCTATTGGGCAGGCTTCCTATGTGTGGAAGCTGCAGCCTCAGTGGTACAATCAGAGCTTTAAATATGGAGGACAGGGATCTGATGCTATCTCAGAAGTCAAAACACTTTTGACCTATGAAACTAGGGGCTTGAGCTCTATTGGCCATTGCTGACAAATTCAAAACACTAAAATTTCAAGGAATTACTCGTTTGATTAAATTACTATTTTTAAATACAGTTTACATTTTTAGTTCATTATTATTTACTTACTTACTTACTTAATTTTGGCACTAGGGATTGAACCCAGGGACACTTACCACTGAGTTACATCCCCAGTCCTTCTTATTTTTTAATTTGAGACAGGGTGTCACTAAGTTGCTAAAGCTGACCTCAAATTTGCAATCCTTCTGCCTCAGGACCCAAATTTTGGTTTATAAGTATCTGCCAAGGTACTCTGAAGTCCATTATATTTTAAACTTTTCTCAGTCTGTTCTTTTCCCTAGAAAAATCTGTTTCTGTTTGTTTGGCTGAGACTTTTTTTTTTTAAACATAATGTTTTGATTGATGGAAATTTCCAGTGTCTTTTTATAGGGTAGTATTTCAGTGCTTCTTTTTCCAAAGATTGAACTTGAAAAATAATAGAAGAGAATTACATTGCTGATATTATCACTATGGGTAAAGATGTTACAAAATATTTAGCCATTAAAGATCACAATGGATAACATCTTCACAAAAGGATGCTCAAAGATTGGGGACAGTAATGTAAGTTAGTGAGGATTCTTGATCCTTTTTAACAGTGTAACTGTGTAGGCAAAAATTATTTTTTTCTTTTGGGGACAAAATTGATATATATGTGGCAGAGTAGAACACATTTTCTTTGTCTATCCACTAGAGGCAGTGAATTGTGAGCAGTTTTAAAACGGAAGGCTTTGTCTGACAGCATATGAAATACACCCCACCAAAAAGTTCTGATTTACTCCTTGTATATTTACTCTATACAAATTAGGTATGTGTTTAACAAGTGAATATTGCTACATTTTTTGGAATCTTGAAACTTATTTTAGATTCGTTTTTCTTTGCTTGCTCTAATGTTTACCAGATTAGGCTCTAATATTTCACCTCCTATCTTATCCCTAAGTCAAGAGAAATATAGTTATTTACCAATGGAAATATACTGAAAGTTTATAACACAATACTATCTCCCCATTAAAATTATAAGGAATAAAAATAGAGGCACTATTTTAAATCTCTAAATGACCTATGAGTATATTCTTAGTTTAACTCCCTTGCTTTTTTTGTTTTAAATATGCCCAACCAGAAATGAGGTCATCTCATGCAGAGTATATTGCCTCTTCCATGTGTATTGAATGGGCTTCCATTCTATTTAGATGTTTGGGGATTTTATTCTTTCACTAATTTGGCCACATGATGTGCAAAGCATGTAAAATGTACACACTATGTGAATAGTTGTTATGCTGTATTGTTAAGGGAGTGACAACAAGGGGAAAGTCTGTACGAATTCAATACAGAGGTAGTCTTTTTTTAAAAAAAAAATTGTTGATTGACCTTTATTTATTTTATTTATTTATTTATATGTGGTGCTGAGACTCGAACCCAGTGCCTCACGCATGTCAGGCATATGCACTACCACTGAGCCATAGTCCCAGCCTGGAGGCAGTCTTTTTTAAAAATGTTTTTGATCCATAGTTGGTTGAATCTGCAGATATGGAGCCCACAGATATAGAGGGCCTACTATACATAGTGCTTAATTGTTTGTGGAACTAATATTAGTATAAATTATTAGATACATAATATCTATATATAATAGAAAATATAAGAAAGTGCTTTGGAAGTTGAGATGAGAAAAATGACATTCTAACATGAGCATCTGGCAAGGACTGTCCTTTGAGGACTTCCAGAAATGGCCAGAATTAAGGCAAAGATGTTAGAACTAGTTTTCCAGCAGAGGCAGGAGTAAAAAGAGGAAAAATTAACTTCATGGCAAAGCAAAAGGTTTGACAAAAGATTTGACATGGCAAAGTAAAAAGTTTGACTAGTTCAATGACTGTGATGGCCCGGCATATGACTTCTCCAGATACCCAGTTGTTCTCATTGAGATGGTAAGCTATCTTAAATAGCAGCATCATTAAAAAAAAAAAAAAAAGAAGATCTACAATGGCCAAGTTGGTGTGGAAGATAGTCAAATGAGTGGATCTGGTCACAAAGAAGGTGTTCCACAGCATTGGCTGACACACCACTCACAATACCAGGATATAGATGGCAGATAGCAGCTTGGTACTTAAGGAACTTCGCAGGTACCCCATGGTCACATTATTCACATGGAAAGTTGAAGCAGTTTCATCAAACTTTTCTCCTCATTAACCTTCTTAAAATACTGAAGTATGAAGTATTTTTTAAAAAATAATTACTAGTACTTTTTTCAAAACACCTTTATTTTATTTGTTTACTTTTATGTGGTGCTGAGGATCGAACCCAGTGCCTCCCACATTCTAGGCAAGTGCTCTACTGCTGAGCCCCAGCCCCAACCCCAGCCCCAATTATTAGTACTTTTGTAACATTTGATATTTGAAGCATTATTTCTTAGAAGGTAAAAAAGTGGAGCTAGAGAATAGAGCTCCTTATACTTTGCATATATTGTCCTACTATGTGTGTTTTCACAGATAGCTTTCCATGATCTTAAAATAATCTCACAACTCTAAGAAGTGCAGTGATCTACAATTTTTGACATGAGAAAATAAAGGAATGGATCTAGACAACTATTTATGCTACTCAGGCATAGAGCTATGAGATAGGTACCATATAAGCCATCAGTAGTGTTGTAGTAGTAGGTAGCATGGTGAATGATGAGTATAATATTGCTTGGAGCAAAGCAAATGGTAAAAATCACAAGGATAAGGAGACTTGCCTTGATATAACTCAACCATCTATGATCATATGTTCCAAGTTTGTGGATGATGTTTGTATAGCAGTAGATTATAACCACAAATGGAATTAAGAATCCAAAAAAAGCTAAGAAGATAAAGTAGTAGAACTGGAAGAGAGGTGAAGACTTCTCACATGTGTTGTAGACATCATGGCAGGTGGTGATATCCAGCTGGGGAAGATAATATTTCTGCTTCATAATGAAAAATGGCAGCATATATAAGAAAACCGTTATCCACACCAGTCCACATGCTAGCAAAAAATAGGTGCGCTTGGGTAGTCTTCGGTATATGAAAGGATGGACAATGGCCAGGTAGCGGTTAAGGCTCATGCAGGCAAGGAGCAGAATGGAACAATATATGTTACCATAAAAGATGACTGTGATGGCCCGGCACATGACTTCTCCAAATACCCAGTTGTTCCCATTGAGATGGTAAGCTATCTTAAATGGCAGTGTCATTAAAAAAAGAAGATCTGCTATGGCCAAGTTGGTGTAGAAGATAGTCAGACGAGTGGATTTGGTCACAAAGAAGATATTCCACAGGGTCACAGCATTGGCTGGCACACCAATCACAAATACCAGGATATAGATGGCAGGTATCAGCTTGGTACTTAAGGAACTTCGCAGGTACCCCATGGTCACATTATTCACATGGAGAGTTGAAGCAGTTTCATCAGGGCACTTCATTTTTACAGTTGTGGTGGCTCCTGTCCAGCCTTCTATGGCAGAAAGGGGGAAATCTTCAAAAGAATTTGGGGGAAATCCATGAAAGGTCTTAATAGTTAGGGTTGGTTTTACCAAGTTGTCTGAAACATTTTCCTTGCCTGTAATGGAAATATTAACATATGATTTGGTGGAAGGCAATATCATAAAATGAAGTGATTTGTACTATATAATTTCTATAGTTGTAAAATTTAGGTTATTTTTATTTTTAAAAATCCATTATAGATCAGGCAATCCTCAGGCATGTATTTAGTACATATAATATGCCCTAGAACCATGTTAATCCATGTATGAACATAAACTAGATGGCAGCTCCTTGCCTGTAAGGAGTTTATAATGCTATTGGAAGAAACAAAAATAGGCCAACAGAACATTATAGGCAAGTGCTAAGTTGACTATAAGCTATATAGGTATTCAGACAATAGCTAACAGATTTGGGCATTTAAACAAAATGTCAAGGAAAAAACAAAACAGTAAAGATAACCATGGCTTATAAAGAGATGGAATTTATAAATAGATTAATTTTATCCTGCTGGTGATGCATGGGCAAAGGCATAATATAGGCTGGCATAGGATCTGGGAATGCTAGATGCTAGTTCAGCAAATGTTTATTGTATGCTTATGTGCCAATGGTATAAAATTTTCAATGAACTCCATAAATACAGAAGTTGCATGTACATCTTTGAACAGAGGAATGACCATTGTGCTAGAATAATGGTACTCCTACACATAAAGATCCCACCTGCTAATCCCTGAACCCCCTATGAATATGTTACCTTATATGATAAAGGGATTTTGTAGGTATAAATAAGAGACTTGAGATGTTAAGGGACTTGAGACGGGGAGAGTGTTCTGGATTGTCCAAGCATGGACTAAATGTAAGAGTCCTTATAGGAGGAAGGCGAGGGACATAGAAAGATAATGTGTGCTACTTGGCTTTGAAGATGGAAGAAGGAGCCATGATCCAAGGAATACAGGAAGTTTCTAGAGGCTGAGAAAAGGCAAGGAAGCATTCTCTCCTACAGCCCTGCCAACACCTTGATTTTAAGACTTCTGAGCATCAGAAATATCAAATAAAAAACCTGTGCTTTAAGCACTGAATTTGTGATTATTTGTTATAGCAGCAATAGGAAGCTAATATAACCGTGATTTCGACTAATGTTTAAGATGACTTTGGTGCTAGCATACTAGAAAACAGATTGTAACAGGAAGAAATTAGAGACAAGGGGGCCTGATAGGAGGCTGCTATAATTATTCAAACTTTAAGGAATGATGAGTAACTGAACTAGAGCAAATCACATGGAAAGGTGATGAGCAGAGCTCACAGGGACTTCGCATCTGACAGCAGTGGAGTAGCAGGAGGCAAGCGGACTCGGAGGGGCCTACTCTAGATGGCTTGAGAGAGGAGAATGCCATTACTGAATTTAGGACAAGAGACAAGAAGCAGATAAGGGAGAAATTAAACCCTGTTTTTAGTATTACTGGGGTGCAGTTGCTGATGGGATGTTAATATGTAAAATGTCCAGCAACTGGTTAGATAACCAGATGTGGAATCCAAAATTCCATGAGTCCATATTAGAGGTATGGATTTTTTTAGTCTGTACAGAGGCCATCATTTAATTTAGAAGGAGTGGTAGGTATGGCCTACCAAGAGATGTGAGAAGAATCCAAAGGCCGACTAAGGAAAATGCCAGGTACTAAGGGGAGAGAAGTCAAAGGAAGAAAATCAGAAAATGAAATTGTTAAAATAACTTAAGATATTAGAAATGGATATTTTAAAAGGAATGAAACATATAAACTATATACTATAAGTTTTTGGCATTACTTGGCATGTTGACATTAATAATCCTAATTCTTGAAAGGGCAATTTCAAAAATAAATAAACCTCAATATGTAAACCTTAATATGCAAATAAATTTTCCATAAATTAATTCTGGACGTTTATAGAGAATACATTCTCTCTGATTTGTAATATGACCTTCTAGATGTATGTGCCTTTTATGCCTTATAAAAACCTCTTGTCAATTTAAAATGCCAGTACTCTGCCAGGTATAACTCACCACATGACCTCTGAATTTCTTTGTGTTGAATACTTGTGGTTAACTGTGGAAAGCAGTATGGAGTTTCCTTAGAAAATTTGGAATGGAATCACGATTTGACCCAGTTATCCCACTCCTTGGTCTATACCCAAATGACTTAAAATCAGCATACCACAGTGACAAAGCCACATCAATGTTTATAGTAGCTCAATTCACAAGAGCCAAGCTAAGGAAACAACCTAGGTGTCCTTCAACAGATGAATGGAATTTTTAAAATGTGGTATATATACTCAATGGAATATTACTCAGACATAAAGAAGAATGAAACTATGGCATTTGCTGGTAAATGGATGCAAATGGAGAATGTCATGCTAAGTGAAATAAGCCAATCCCCAAAACTAAAGTCCATATGTTCTCTCTGATATATGGATGCTAACCCACAACAACAGAGGGTGGGGAGCGGAAGAATAGAAGTCCATGGGATTAGACAAAGGGGAATGAAAGGATTAGACAAAGGGGAATGAAAGGAAGGGAGAGAGGAATAGGAAGAATAGTAGAATGGATCAGACATAACTTTCCTAGTTTTGTTTTTAAATACACAACCAGGGTGACTCCATATCATGTACAACTATAAGAATAGGATCCTAATTAGAATGGGTTATGTTCCATGTATGGATAATATGCCAAAATATGTTCTACTATCTTATATAACTGAAAAGAACAAATTTAAAAAAAATATTGAAGTTAGTGTTACCAAATAGTTCATCATTCAGAGCCAGTTGCTCTTACTGTTCTAATCTCTAGCGGCTTCCTCCCAGGGGAAACTGAAGCCTCCCTTATAACTCTGAGATTGCACAAACTGATTTCAGTGTGTAAGATGGAGAAAATGTGATCTGAACCACTGGAGACCTAAAGGTGATCAGATATCACTAAAGGAAAGGTGGATTAGAGAAAAGGAAAGAATTTGGAGGGCAGCACTCTTCAGGGTCTGTGTTTAGACATGATCACTGAAGGGATGCTGTTAGACATTTGAACTCAACTGTACAAATCCTTCATGTTTTTTTTTTTTTTGCATTTGGGAAAAGATCTTGGGTCTTATGTGACCTAAGGAGAGGTAGATTCCTGTAAAGAAAGATAAGCAGAAAGCTAGAGAATGGTAACTACAGACCATGCTGTACAAGAGATTTCCCCTCAGGATCTGATAAGAGAGCTGTTGAAACCAAGTGTTTGTTAGTTTTCAGAAAATCTCTGTGATTAAGCAAGACATGGTGCCTGTGGGCATGCTCAACAGTGACTCATTGGTAGAAAAGTTGATTCGAATCCAATTTTCCATGAGAATTCTGGATCTGATTCCACTTAATAAGTCTTTTAGTCCTCAGAGCCTGATCTTAAGAATAGTGCTTATCATTAAGTTTATTTTTTAAGTTTATTTGAATTCTTTATATATAGGTTTCCATTTGGCATCATGATTGTGGAATGATTTCCAGAGGGGCTAGTCCACAGGGAACAGATTTCCCTCACTATGGATGGGTTCTCCCTTTACATCTTCCCCTGACCCCGTCAAAGAAAACAAACTCACTGCCCTTTACTTTGTCTGTGTGTGTGTGTGTGTGTGGATGGACACAATACCTTTATTTATCTTTAGGTGGTGCTGAGGTCAAACCCAGGGCTTCACACATGCTAGACAAGCACTCTACCACTGAGCTACAACCCCAGCCCCACTTTGTCTCTTCTTAAGTTCCCTATTTTCACTTTCACCAAACCGTACTACTGTCTTTGAAGGAACCTCCCTCATCAACCTCGTTTCTAGCCACAATGCTGCTCAACTTTTTGGTTCATTGATCCCAGAGTGAGTACATGTTTATCCTTTCAAATGCTACACTATCTACAAGTTCCCTTGGCTCTCTCTGTGGTGACCTAATGACCTCCAACTATCAATTTAAGCAACATTCCTTTACTCAAGGTTTTTGTGGTGGTGGTGATGGTGGTAGTGGTTTAATTTGGGGCTTTTTATGCCTTGTACCCCTACCTTTCCCACTCCTACCAATGTAGTGGAGTGTGACCTAACAGTAAAAAAGTTGTGGTTATAGCTCCATCCCAAATCATGGATGGAACAATGAACTTCAGAACAAGTAGGGTAGCAGACTAGCATTGTGATGGGTAAAACAGAAAACATTCATGGTAGCATATCAGTATTTGGAAACAGTATTTTTAAAATTATAAAAATTCATTTATAAGGGTAGAGAGAGGACTCCCTGGCACTATTCCATTTTGGAAATACTAATGTATTGGCATCACAAGCTACTAAAGGCAAGTGACTCTTTCAGGCAATATTCTTGTTTCCCCCATTTGTGTCTCACCAGAAAGTATAAACACAGGATTTTTTCCCTTGAAAAAGTGCTGTCTTTCCTAATCAGAGGAAATTCCTAAGGAACACAGAACTTCTCACAGAGAAAGTTGTTTCTTGACTTAATTATAGTTGTCTAAAATCTTGACAAGGCAACACTTTTAAATATCAGGAGATATTAGTCTTTGATGAAATTTGACTAGTGAGCCTGGTGCGGTGGTGCTCACCTATAATTCCAGTGATTCCAGGGGCTGAGACAAGAGGATCAAAGCCAGCCTTAGCAAAAAGCAAGGTGCTAAGCAACTCAGTGAGACCTTGTCTCTAAATAAAATACAAAATAGGGCTGGGGATGTGGCTTAGTGGTTGAGTGCCCCTGAATTCAATCCCCAGTACCCCCCCCCAAAAAAAAAAAAATTGACTAGTGCACAAACTGTAGATTCTGACTTCCATGATCATACCTTTTGATAACCAAGATCAGACTCTACAGTTTTTGTCAGATGCAAAGATTAGGTTCACTTGGCTTTTGTAATACAAACAAGTTCCCCACCCTCCTACTCCAGAAGAAAAGAGCTTACCACTTCCACAAAACATGGGTGACAGAAGAAGTAGTCCAGCAGCTGTAAAGATGAGGGCTTTCATTTCGATGACTTGAGTCCAATTTCTCTAACGTTATCAAATGTGTAAAATCACAGAGCACAGTTTCCCCTCAATTCCGTATGTTAATAACAAAACCTTGTTCTGTCAGTGTGCTACCCTGGCCTTTGTGGGCAGGAACTTGCCTGAGTCCTCTGCAGGGGAAGGATGTGACCAACTCAATGTTTCAGTATGACTCAGGCTGAGCTTCTGAGCGTGTTTCGTTATCCATGAAAAAAAAAATCATTTAACTCTTACCCATACCCAAAAATCTGGTCTGAACAGATGCTGTAATTTTCACCTGGTGTGTTTATGTACATTTTTAAAAAACAACAGAAAGTAGAGAGCCCTTTACAGAACTAAGCTGAAAAACAGATGCAGAGCAGCAGTTAGCTTTGAAACTGTCCCATATCTCATTTTACCCATTTTTAAAGTTACTTTGTAGTTGAACAGTCAGAAATTATCCTTAACTTTATTCTGCCAGCTATTTCAAATTTTAAGAAACTAAAATTGTTTAGGTGCTTGATTTCTTTCAAAATTCTGTGTTGCCAGATCACAGGGGTACAAGCCTATAATCCCAGAGGCTCAGGAGGCTGAGGCAGGAGGATCGTGAGTTCAAAGCCAGCCTTGGCAACTTAACAAAGTTCTAACCAAGTTAGCAAGACCCTGTCTCTAAATAAAATATAAAAAGGATTGGGGATGTGGCTCAATAGTTAAGTGCCCCAGTTCAATCACCAGTACCAAAAAGAAAAAGAAGAAAATTCTTTGCCAATGTCTCAATGGTCTGAACTTGTCACCAGTGCCTGGCCAGAACTTACTTTTATATTTGTTGTTGTTTGGAGATAGGGGTGTCACTTGTTTGCCGTAGTTCATGTGTTCTGAGCCATTTAGTAACTCTTTAGGGTCACATAACTAGAGACCCATCCCCGACCAACACTATTTGGTTGAATTGAAATCATAATGCAACATTGAAATGCAGAGGACTCCATAAGTGTTAGTTACACAATAAGATTTTTTAAATTGTGATAACATATACATAAGTAAAATTTTCCATGTTAACCATTGTAAGTTCATAGTTCCAATGTGTTAAGTATATTCACATTGTTGTACAACATATATTAAGCTTTCATGAGTAGTTATTTTCTGGAGAGTACAATTTAATGTACAATAAAAAGAAAGAAAGAAAAAGCTGCACTATAACAAATTTGCCTATGATTAACAAAATGATTAAACTCTAAGCCAGCCAGCCTACTGGCTATAAAAATGTGGCAAAATCAGAAAATTAAATTTTGTGAGACTTGAAAGGTAAGAGATAAAACTAGGAAGGAAGTGATATATGTATAAACATCTTAATTAAGTTTAATCAAATCAAGATTTTTACAAAGGTTGATGTTTCATACTTCAGCTAAATAATATATGATAACAAAAAGTGAGATTGAAGCTATTATATGGCAAAAAAATAATTTTTAAAAATCATTAAGACATGAAGACGTTTTGTTGTTGTTTAAAACGTTTCTAGAAGTCATCTAAATTCAGGAGTTTGTGGCTTGATTTGCACATGCTCTGGTTTCTGGTCATTTAATTCATTTGTAACTCACATGTTGAACCTGGCTGTTCAGCTGAAGTGGTAACCTAGCCATCCCATAGTCTTTTCAGTCTTCTAGTGAGTAATTGAAAGGAGACCCTACATTTTACTGTTGTAGTTGTTGGTTTGGGCAGTGCTTGGGGGATGGAACCCAGGGTCTCACATATGCTAAACAAGTGTTCTATCACTGAGCTATACCTCCAGCCCAGGATTTCACTTTTACCTTGAATTTGTGTTTAACTTAATTCAGCACATCACACTTTAAACTGTTGATTTTGATTTGGCTTTGCAAAGTCTTGCTTTAGATTAATTTATAATATTTTAATCTTTGAAGTAGGATTATAGGATTGTGACTACGTTCTCTTCTGGCAGAAGTCAGTGTGGTGCATCTTCTGCAGTAATCAGTTATAAATGAACATAATATCCTTCAAGAAAACCCTGAGATGGACATAAATGAACTTGTATGGAACTCAAGTTTATAGGCTGTTCCTGGGGAGTGTTGGGTCTCTTTGGACTTAGAAATAGAGAACAGGTAGTCCAGTTTCTGTTGTCTCCTCCTCCTCCTCCTCCTCCAGGCTTCTCCTCACCTTGCTTCCTGATTGACTATAACCCATCCAAAGTTTCATTTAGAAAGAGATGAAAAGTACTAACAACTGGTGGCTCCCATGTGACAGCCATAACTAGAGATGATCGAGGAAGCATATACCACACCTTCCCCAGAACTCTATTAACGACAATGATACAAAAAGAAATGGCCCATATTTTAACTCATTTTCAGAGCCCTTGGCACATGCAAGCTAGAAGCCTACCAGAAAAGCTGGTAGATGTTACTTCTTCTTCCTCCCCCTCCTCATCCTTCTTGAGTCCTAAGTGATGGAATTGGTTCTGTATGGTTGCAGTACCAAGTCACTTGTTTCCATTTGTCATAGCCTTGATTCAGAATTTAGAACACAGCACTTAATCCCTACACATATTTAAATGTTCCCATTTTTTAAGTGGAATGTCATATCTTTCCTGAAAATATTTCATTTCCTTGGATAAAAATTTCTTGCCACCTTGGACAAGTTTTTATAAATCTATCCAGGAATCCCATTTAATATAGATCCCAGCACCACATTTGTAGCAGTCTCATCAAGACCAACCCAAAGGAAAATAGTGAAAATCATTCAGTACTTTTTCATTGCTGCTATCACTTGCTTTCAAATGCTAGCCTTAACTACTCTTTTCTTCTGTTGCAACTTAAGACCCCTACTATTGAACTCCTCCTTGATCATGTGTCTACAGCTAAGATTGCCCCAATCATAATTACTTTAAAATATGTATTATAATTATTTCTTGACACATCTATCTCTTCCACTAGACTGCCAGGTCCTTGAGAACAATCACAGTGTTTAAATTTTTATTTTTGTCTCTCTCTCTGATAAATGCTGAATATCACTGTGTTTCCCTTAAATTTAAAATATCCCTTGGCACATAGTTTGTAACTGATGGTTTTGAATGCTTAGGGGAGAGAGTATTTGACTAGGTAGCCAGGGAAGACTTTTTGGATAAGGAAGCATTTGAATTGAGGCCTGAGTGATGAGGGGGAAAGAGCAGCCACACAGAAAGGGTGGAGTGCTGTAGTCTGAAGGAAGCTGGTGTGAAGTTCTAGAACAGGTAAGCAGAAGGGTGTGAGGTGAAGCTAGAGGAGTAGGCAGATCCCTGAATCCCCAAAGCCCGTGAGAAGAGGCTTTGTGCTCTGTTTCCTTCCAACTGCAGGGGAAGGTTGGGAGAGGTTAGCTGATGAGTGGGATGATGAGACATCTGTTTTGAAGATATCCTGTGGCTCTATGTCGAGAATCACCACGGGACAGAGCAAACTTGGAAGCAGCAAAAGCAAATAAAGGAACCAGTGTAGCTGTCCACTTGAGAGACAAGGGTGGGCCGGACTCAAGGGAAGGAGCAAGGAAGGGAGAAGTGGTCAGATTTGGACTCTGCTCATTAATAGCATGTGCTTTATATGGCAGGACTTGATAACTGTTGAATGAGAATTCGTGGAAGTTATAATAAGAGGACTCTGAAAAGCAGTTCTTGATTCCATCCCATAACCACCTCTGATACTTTTCCTAGGATCTTGAGAGTGCTTCCAAAGTTCTTTGGCTGGATGAGATACAGCAAGCCATCGACGAGGCCAACGTGGATGAGGACAAAGCAAAGCAATGTAAGCACCTGCAGTCTTTTGCTTGTTTTTGGAGCTATGCCTGAAGTCATATAGCTTTTCATTCCTGGGATAATTTGGGCTCTCTTACCAAGTTTCAGTTCTTAGATGTGTACTTATATAAAAATACGATTTTGATTGCATATTTTCAGTGAGTAACTGCTTTTCAGAGTCATCTTATTATAATTTCCACGAATTCTCATTCAACAGTTATCAAAATTTGATGATGTTGCTGAATAAAATCCAGGAAATTAAAAAAAAAATACTTTGTATGCTCTTGAATTTTGTAACTGAATCAAATCCTTTTTTTTTTTTTTCTTAATCCCTAGAAAACTAGCCCATACCTGCTCCATAAATGAGTGTTCTCTTCTATGCCCTCCACTGCTAGGTTTTTCAGAGAAACAAACTAATAGGGAGTGAGGTAAGAGGGTGTACAGGTATATCTTTTAAGGCAGGCTGACAGGAGCCAGGCCCTCAATCACTAAACATAAATGGGTGTGGTTACTGTCATGACCCCAGAGTCAGAGCAGTTAATTGGAATAGTTTTGGAGAACTATAGAGTTGTGCCACTGATCATGGTATTCCTAGAATAGAAATTGACTGGTAGTTTACTAAATTCTTAGTCTGTACAAGTATGTGTTAGTCAGCTTCTAGTTGCTATGGCCAAAATATCTGACAAAAACAACTGAGAGGAGGAAAAGTTTATTCTGGCTCAAGTGTCATAAGGGTAGTCCATGGTAAGCTGACTCCATTGCTTTGGATTCAAAGTGAGGCAGAATATCATGGCGGGAGGACATGGTGGAAGAGTTCTACTCCATTTATGGTGTCCAGGAAGCAAAGAGAGCAAGGGAAAGGGGCTGCGGGGAAGATGAACCCTTCCTAGGCATGATCCCATGATCCACCTCCTCCAGCCTACCGTTAACTTCCAGTTATTCTATTCAAACTAGAATAGACTAATTAGGTTAGAGTTCTCACAATCCCATCATTTCACCTCTGAACATTTCTGCATTAACCCAGGAGCTTTTAGGGGACACCTTATAACCAAAGCATAACAAAATAGAAGAGTTCCAAGTCAGGGAAGAAAAGTCTAACTTGAAATATAAAGAGAGTCAAAGCCCCTCAATTCCCAGACTGGACCTAGTTCGCAAACTCAAAACCCTTTGAATGAAGGAGGAGACCAAGTCCCCTTGAAGAAGTATGACACCACACTGCCCCAAAATTATACTTTTAATCTTTTTATCATCCTTCACCAAACAGGTCTTGTTTGTACCAAGCTGAAGTAGGGGGAAGAGTAAGTCCCCTTGAAGAAGTATGACACCACACTGCCCCAAAATTATACTTTTAATCTTTCTATCATCCTTCACCAAACAGGTCTTGTTTGTACCAAGCTGAAGTAG